TAATAACAGGTGGCAAGACCAGAGGCTGCCAGAGCCCAGGATTCCGGTTGCCATGGAAACAGGTCAGCCCTGCGGAGGGATGGGAGCTGTCAGCCGTGGAGGGCGGTGGGGGAGCAAGTGAGAGGGGCGAGGCACAGCTCCTCCTGGAGGGCTCTTCTCGCTGCCCCTCAGGCTCCCCAAGGGCCACACACCCAACTAGCAGGCCCTGGAGGACATGGTCCCTGGGCTGCAGCTGGGTCGTGGGCACAGAGCACGGCCGTGTGCGTGTGCACACCAGGCCCTGGCAGGCCGGCTGAGCTTCTGCTCAGGATGTGAAGTCACGCTTTTGTGGATGTGCCACAGAGGAGCCTCAACTCCTGGCTTGCTTCCTATTTCCCTAGGACATTTGGGACACAGCTTTGGTCTTGGTAGAACCAGCTGAGGGGATGTTGCTGGTGGCCAGGCCGTCCCCGCCACTCTTTCTTTTCATGAGGGGCAGGCACGTCAGAGCAGAAATCAGACCGAAAGGGGCGAAGACAGCCCCGTGTGGGTGGGAGTTTTAGGGAAGATTCGGGGCCTTGTTTGCCATAGACACGTGGCCTGATCAGAGTGAAAAAAAAATCCCGTAGTGTACCCTGAGACCTTTCCAGAATGACTGCTCACCCTTTACCGGGCGTGGCAGGGAGACTGTTTGGGGCTTGGCTTTTCCTTTCTTTTGGTTTGATTGGAATGCTCCCTCCCATCTTCTGTTGTGTGTGTGTGTGTGTGTGTGTGTGTGTGTGTGTGTGTGTGTGTGTATTTTCGTGAACTTTGTTCTTGATTTCCATTTTTTTCCCCCTTTGAGATTTTTAGAGTTATCTCCCCCAGGTAAATTCCTAAACTCTTCGGGCTCACTTTATTTTCTTGGCAGCTCCCTCGTATCTCTTATATGATCTCAGCCTGTGAACATTAATCAATGAAAAACCAAATCCATCTTTACGGACGTTGCCATCGAGATACCACTCGGGTCTTTGCCCTCCTGTTGTCTTATTCTATAAAGTGGGACTCGATTTCCCAGAGGCAGAAGCAGAATCTCTATTTAAATCCCTCTCACCAGGTCTGGGTGAGCTTCCTATTTATAGTAAAATCCTTTTTATAATGATCTCATACACGGTACCAGGAAATTGCTCATGGCTGGGTCAGGCCATAGGCCAGTATAGCTGTGGTGTAAGCTTTGCTTGAAAAAATTCCTTCCAGAGCTTCTGGAATTCTCTGGAGAAGTGTTTTCACAGAGTATGTGACAATAAACAGGATCACCCAGCGTGGAGTACCGTGGTAGGGACATCAAATTTAAGTTCAAAGGGAATTTCTGCTTTTATCAGGCCGATCTCAATAATTTTTGTCCCTTTGGGCTTCCTAATTGACATATGGGTGAATCAAGTTGACTGGAAAGAGATTTATGAAATATTTTATATGCGAGGTATGGCCAGGAAGTGTTTGCCTCTGGACTTTCCAGGAGGCAGAGAGTCTCTGGGGACATAGACAGCTCAGGGGTGAATCTCCCCTCCTGCACTTTGGAACGGGCCTGAAGCCAGCCCCTTAATCTCTCTGAGTCCCAGTTACCTCATCTGTCGAATAATCTCCACTTCACAAAGTTTTTGTGAGAATCAATGAAACAATGTATGTAAAGCATCCAGCATAAGATCTGTCACAGTTTTGAAGCATAGTACATGTCTGCTTCTTTTTCTTTTCAAGAAGCCATTGAACAAGAGGGAGCCTGAGTGGGTAGCAGCCGGGTGTCCCCTTCTCAAGAGACAATGAATCACAGTCTTCTACTTTTTTTGTATGTTTGTGAACAGGATGCTGTTTCTCCTACCATAGTAGGGCTACAGTGTTATTCTTCCAGCAGCCCCGGGCCCTCAGCCACCCACTCTGGTTTACTCCGGGAGCTGGACCTGATGCCAGGCCAGATGACTGACCAATCCATCTAGACATGGACCAGCGCTTCTCTCTGAGGATTTGAGAAATAAACCATGTAGTGAATGATATTCCGAGCGACAGATAACTCTGCCACAGGGCGAGCAAACACAGTGCTCTGTCCCCACTAGGAGGATGTCCCAGGGGTGTCACTGGGCTGTCTGCTCACATCTCTGCCATCCTTTTCTAAGCCATTCATCCTACACATTGTGGTTAACCATTTCCTGCACGCAGGCCATGTAGGTGTTCCGGTGATGAGTTAGACATGGTGCCCGACCTGGAGGAGTAGATCGTTTAGTACAGGTCGATGAGGCCGGAGTACATGTGTATAAACAAGAGAAGGGTCATAAAAGTGATGTCAACAGAGTGCCCTCCCAAGGCCTGACTGGCCATTTTGGCTGGGGAGTTGGGAGAACTTTATGGGAAAAATCACCCTGAAACCAATTCTAAATACCAAAAACTATAAGAGGACCAGAGGCAAAAGCTATTGATTAGTCTATCCCACACCATTATACCAAGATGAAAGGAAGTTCTGAATTCACTATTATGAGAAGAGAGTAGGATTTTGCCAAAAATGAAGCCTAATATTCACTGTCACTTTGTATACTGGGTCAATGCTAGACTAAAATGATACCTTTCCCCTCCCCACCAGCCCTGACATGTCACAGCTACACACAGCAGGGCCTACAACGGGGTCTTAGCACCTTCTTCACCCCCTTGACCAGGCATTCTGTATGGCCAGCAACCAACACAAATATATGTGGGGATCCTGCTCTGATCCAGTCTTCTCAGAAACTTCTCTTCATTAGATAAATGCTGTTCCTTTGGCTTTTTTACACAGGACCAATTTCTCTATCACTATCTGCTTTGCTCTGCTAGATCATTTCTGAATTTTTAATTCTTGCAGTATTAGAGTTCCTGATTCGATGAGGGCATCCAATGGTCTGTTGGTGATGAAGATTGTAAAGAATTACCTGGGAGTTCTTATAGTCTATATTCTACTTCATCCTCATAAATTGCAAGGCATATAGTGTGTTGGAGAAAACCAGATTCTTTGGTTGCTTTAAGATTTTGTGAAAAGAGAGAAAATCTGACATAATAGAAAGTCCTTAAGAGTACAGGAGAGACAGATGGTGAGGATGTGGTTCCTGAGACTTTTAGTGGGATGATCTACGTGGAATTCTTTGATCGCTTTTCATGCGGGAAGCTACCTGAGTTATGACTGGCATGGCCACATTTTGTTTCTAGTTCATATCAATGACGAAAGTTAGCTTTGGTTTACACTCAGCCCCTTAATTTCATATACCCCACTTCTTCCTGTTCACTTTTGGATTGATTTTTAGGATAGTCTATAATGGGAAAACCCTGAGTTTATTTGCTTCATAGACATGCTTGGATTTTCTTAAGGGAGTTCTAAACATGGTGAAGGTGGCAAATAAGAGAGAAAGAAGAAAGGAGCTTCTTTCTGGACTTGGACAATGAAAATTTTAGAGTAACATTTTTGCGAGATTTTTGGAGATTATTTGCAAAACCGTTCTGTGTGACATGTCATGTCTTTAAGACACAGTCCTTGATGAAGACACTCAACAGGCCACAAGGGTGGCCAACTCCTCTGCCTGTCCCCAACAGCCAACACGTTTTTGCAGAGAATTGGCTGCCTCCCTAAAGATGAAAATCAATGACTTAGAAACTGATTAAACAATCCAAATAGCAACTGATAAATGGATTAACTCTCTGTAATGTAATTCTGCAAGCTTTTGTCTTCTGCCTTCCCAGGTAAGTTTTTCTATTCCTGGAGGCAAAGCAGAGGCATGGAGGAAGCGAAGGCCAGAGGGAATCATATTAAAGTGGGTGAATCCGTTTATCACTTACTGTCTGGATGGTATTTCTGCTCACATATCTGCTTCCTTTTACAGATTTGTACCCTACGGGACCCTGATTAATGTTAGCCAGTAAATAATGAAAGATAGCAGCAGACATTGGGTATAGTGAGGAAGAAGATACCCCTGTGGTTTAGGCTGATCCCATAAACAGACAGACTTTTCTTCTTAGTTGCAAACAGGGAGTGTTAACGTGACAAAAAAAAATCTCCACAACGAGGATCGAAAACCAGGAGAATGGAGGCATTTCTCTCCATGCAAAGAAACCTGTCCAAGCCTTTTCAGCCATCTCCTAGGAACTGAGAATGATTTCAGGGCTTGACAATAGGTGCCGTTCTCGCAAGCTTTGTTTTTAAGATCATGTCCTAAGATTTTTTCTTTGCGTTTGAATGAGGACCTTCAGCAGGGGTGGCTTATGAAGATATTAAGCCTCAAGACGCGCTCACTAACTCACCATTCAACCTATCTTTGGCATGAGGCGAGGCTAAGTGTCCAGTTCTGTTTCTAGGTGCTTGAAGTCTGCTGATGAACTAGTCCTGAGTTTTCTCCATGTCAATGAGTCTGGACTTTAGGGAGATGAGGCCTAAGAGTGGACCCTTGTGTACCTGCCAAGATGTTCATCAGAGTGCCCAGAAGCATCTTCAATGTCCTTCCTGGAAGGAGATTTCCTTCTTTGTTTTTTCTTTTCAGGAGCAGAAGGAGTATCTCCTGAATAAGAGCATCTTTCCTAAGGGCAAGGCCTAGGCATTGGCCATTCTCTCCCTCCCATCCCACCAATGTTTATGGTTGCTACCTGCTGTTTGAGCCTAAGCCCCGAGGGCTGATTGTTCAGGGATGAGAGAAGTTTACTTGACTAGTAGGCCTTCTAGATGCTTTGCTCATCCAGGGAATGCCATCAGAGGAGCAAGGGTAGTTTCTGTAAAAACACAGAGATGGGTTTTGCAAATATTGCAGAAATCAAACTAAACCCTGGATGGCTTGCAAGGTATTAGAACTGTTGAACTGAAGAGGATCAAAAAGAAAACTTCGCCCCATTTAATCGCTTCGTTGTAACAAGGCCTCATATCCTAGACTTGATATTCTTTCCGGAGCAGATTCTGTCACGCCGTGGGAGAAGAGGGGCCAGTAGAAGCTCATGGCAGTCAAAAATCGGATTTTTTTTTTTTTTTTTTAATGTTTCTATAGCCCAGAAAGGACCGGATGGGACAGTCATTCCCAACAACTACTGTGACTTCTGCTTGGGGGGCTCTAACATGAACAAGAAGAGCGGGCGGCCTGAGGAGCTGGTATCCTGTGCGGACTGTGGACGCTCTGGTGAGTGTGGCCCCTACCTGCATCTGTGCCCATAGACCAGGACCACTTGCACCCCTCTGCTGTCTTGTGTGGGAGTTGAAGGCTCGCGTGGAGAAGTGACGGTGGTGATTTTGAGTGGAGAGGAGTTTTCAGGTCATTTTCATATTTTTCTTCTTTGAGTTTTAAGAACCAAAATGATGCCCCGAGATGGAGCAAAAAGGGAAAGGAGTCTTTGGCTTGTGTCTGGCCTTTCCACGACGTGGCTGTTTCTTTGTGTGTGTTGTGGACAGCAGGGAGGTAGCGTCCGGGAAAGACACAGAGGCGCGGGGCCACATGCCTCCTTGTGTCGGATGATGCGCACATAACGAGAAGATGCGTTTGTTCTAGGAAATGCCGGGGGCGAACTGGAAGAGTGTGGAAGCATGACCATAGGGAGAGCAGCCACATCTTGAATTGCGGGAGTCTGAGACCCCTGGGCTCATGGGCAGCTGCGTAAATACCACCTCCATTGGCCACTCCTCCCATTTTCTCATATAAAATAGACAAAAGAGACCCTGATAGATCAAGGGAGCAAAAGGACAGGAATTCTCAGGGCTAATCTGGAATCGATTTGGCGCGTTTTGAAATTTTCATCTTTAACCTCTCCAAAGACTAAAATGACCAAAAAAGACAATGGTCTTATCCTTTCATTCTCAACATGAGTTCAGGTCTTCAAGTTTTGTTCAAGTTGTTGTGTTTTTCAATTCTAACCAAACCATTATTTTTGGCTGGTCATGATTGGTTGGTGCTACCTATTTTTCATATTGTTTTATGTCCCAGCTGAGCCAAAGCACAAGGCAGGGTGGAGAAAAGATCTCAGATTCATCTTTAGTCTGGTCCATTGCTGACTAGTAGGCGAAATACAGTTCAGTTGGGTGGTTCGTGCTAGCAGTGAGAAGTCATTGCTCCTTTCCATATTCCTCCCCAGGGTCTTTCCTGCTCCAAGTCCCAAGGGAAGTACACACCTGGGTTTACTACAACAACTCAGTTCTTCCCTTGCTTGCTTGCAAACCTTTTATATTTGGGTTTTGGGTTGTTTAGGGATCCAGACTGACTTGAGTAGCAACTCAGTAATTGAAAAAGGACCATGGTTTCCATTGCACATACCCTCATGGAACTCTTAAGGACCCGACAGGGTGGCCTGTCTGTGTTCATTTGTTTTCCAAACCTAATACCTAATGTTGAACTTTTTACTCTACCGTTGTCAGCTTAGAAGAGAGGGCTGTTATGACACTGGACTCTGGGTTTTAAATACTCAAAAGAAAACGAATAGTTTTAGAAATACTTAAAGAAAATGCAACAAGCGAAATGCAATTCAGTGTTTTTTAAAAGCAAGTGATCAGACAGACTCTCTATTGCCAGGAGCAAAGTCACCTGGCGGAGTGATAGGCAGAATGTGACGGACTGTTACGCGTTTGGGGTGCATTAGAGAGGGAGGCTTCAGAATTCTCACTGCAAACTACTATAATTTTCCCCGTTCCTTTCCTACAAAAGATGGGGTACTTGAATCTGATCCGTGGGGGACCAAAAGTGGGCAGCCGGTATTGTCTGTCCAAAGCCTCTCTCCTCACAGCCTTTATTCAGCTTTTTCTTCCCAGGATCTGTCTGCTATGTGACTCAGGGGGCCATTTGGTACCAGCCTAGGTGTTCTCATTGCATTTGCCAATTTTGGTGGATGATTTAGTCAAGGTCTGACTCTGATGTTCCTGAAATAGTCAATACCTTGGGAGTAAACAGGTGGCGTTAGCCCATGAGATACGCTTGTTAAGGCAGGTGGGCGAATACTTCTCTAGGGCCTCCTTGGAGTCCTTCCAAGGAAGACTGTGAAGCTCAGAAAAACTCTTTCCCTTCCCATCTACTCCACTACCTCTGTTTCCTGGGGAGAAAGTGAGATTCCTGAAATTGACACCATCAGTGAAACATCGTGACCTCATTTGGGGGCAGTCCTGGGGCCCATTTACAAGGGGAATAAGTTTAAACCTGAGTTTTATAGATTTCAGGATACTGTATTTTATTAGGCTTTATAAACCCCTATTTCCTGCTTTTTTAGTGCTCTGAGGCCGATTTGACAACTCTGGACTTTCTGGAGTAACTAAGACCTGGGCATGTTTAGCGGCTGGAGTATGTGTGTTTACCTGCACGCGTGCACGTGTGTGCACACAGCTGTATATGTGCATGCTCACGGATGCAGGTGCAGATCACAGAAATTTCCTCCAGTCGTTAAAGAAAATGAGAGACTTTCTTATTACCTACCACTTATCAGACTTTCCAACTTCTTCGTGCTTTCAGTGCAAATGAACTACATGGTGTAAGGGCAGAATTGAAAGGGTGCGGAAACAATGGGATTAGAAGCGGGTAAAAATAAAAATAAAATAAAAATAAAAATAAAAATAACCACCTCGAATGGGTTATCTGATAGTAATACCTTTGTAAAGCTGACTGTCAAAGTGAAGGACACACGATGTTCAAAGAGAAACACCAACCGAAAACACCAAAGAAATACCAACCAGGCTTAAAAACCACCAAGGAAACTCATTGTCTGGGGCGGGGTTGAGCGAGCGTGCATGCATATGTGTGCATACGGAAGAGGAGAAAGAAAGACCACGGTTGAATCTGTCGCTGTCAGAGCTGTGGACGTATATATTCTGGTAGAGATGATGCTTTTCTGGGAGGGGGAGGAATCCTTTTCGCTGGAAACGCTGGCTTTGTCCCGTTACCCTAAATCCCTATCACCAGGTGATACACCCAGCTAATCCCTCCTGGTGTGAAATGGTTTATGATCTTGCTATTAAGAGTAACATTGTAAGAATGTAATAAGAGTATTAATGATGCTGTCTGTTGCTTAACCCATGTGCTGATATATTCATCATACATGTCAGCTCATTTGGGAGGAGAAGGCAGGAAGGAGGAGGCAGCGGCCGCAGCACGCACCACGGAGGACTTATTCGGTTCCACATCAGAAAGTGACACGTCAACTTTCCACGGCTTTGATGAGGACGATTTGGAAGAGCCTCGCTCCTGCCGAGGACGCCGCAGTGGCCGGGGTTCACCCACAGCAGATAAAAAGGGCAGTTGCTAAACCCACGGACCAGACTCTCTGGGCGACTAGCCGCCACCCTCTGACTGTGGTCGTTATTCTGGGTCTGATATATATTTTTTTTCAATGAAAGTCAACTTTAGGTTTTCCCTCCATCCTTGCTTTCTCCTGTCTCCTTCCTCGCATCCTTTCCCCCTTCCCCTCTGTTCTGGGTATGTACAACCGAAGCACAAACTACTGAAACAAAGCAGAACAAAAGAGCAGGATAACAGTCCTTCAGAGAGATGGCATCATGAAGTACTGTTTATTTTCCATAGAAATGGGAAGTTAGGTGGATTGTCTCTCTTTGGGGGGGAGGGGATCTTTCTGACACGAGCAGAGTCGATTTCCTCAGTTTTCCCATTTATTGGCAAAATGAAGAGAGGAGGAACATTGGGTTTGGAAACAAAGAACGAATAACATTAAAAATTATTATTTATGTATTCTAGCTATTATTAGAAATGGACCTTTTTTTGAGAGAGAGAGAGAGAGAGAGAGAGAGAGAGCGCGCGAAGGGAAATCAAAGCAATTGAAGTGATATCCTGCTTGGGAGAGAGCCGCTGGGGGAGGGGTTGATTCAAGGACACCTAGTCAGGAGGATTTCCTCGCCTGCAGATGATGGCACTTTCTGTACCCCACGGAGTGTGTGGCTCCCTACGGCAGACCCCCTCCCCATTTCTGCTCCCTGACCTTTCCGTCTTCCTCCCTGCTTGCGAGAAAATGTCAGCAGCTCCTGGGAAGTCTGGGCCTCCGCGTGTGGCCTCCCTCCAGCGCCTCCTGGGCTCCTCCCCTCCGCCAGCATAGCCGCTGTGGTGTTGTTGCTGGGTTTTTCCTCACTTTCCTCCTGGCGAAGAGCAATTTCCAAATGCAGGAATGGAATATAAACAGAAAGTCATGGACTCAGCGGTGACAAAGCAACCCGAGGCCGCGCTCATGGACGAAAGAATGATACCTCACAGTATATTTCCCTCTCCCCTTGGCCCCTGTTTACAAACATAAATTCCCGTTGGATGATCAAGTCTCCCGTGTCTCTTCTTCTATTTTTTTTATAGTGCCCTCCAGGCACTTTGTTTTATGTTTCCAATAGCACCTCCTGAAATAAACCAAAGCAACACTTGCTCAAGGTCCCTGGGGCGATGGAGAAGACCATCCACCTTGTCGGCAGTCCCAAGAACGAACAGCTGTGCAGTCCTAGTCAAAAGGTATGTCTTAGCCGGCCTGTCTTACAGTGAGGGCAAAACCATCATAGTTGGTTTTTTTTTTTGTTTGTTTTTTGTTTGATCGTTTTTTTTCTTTCTTTCTTTCTTTCCTTTTCCTCCCCCCGGCTTGTCTTTTGTTTTTCTGGGTTCCCACCGCCATGTTAGCGTGGGTGTGGCTACCGCCGTGTCCTCCGCCTGGCCCTCTGCTTTCTGTGTGTGCATGCTTACCCACGTGGGCCCGGGCCTCGTGTGGGAACTGAGGCTTGCTTGGACGATGGGATGGGCCCTGTAACGGAGAATGGTGGGCTCCTGGCTTCTGGCTTCAACCATCAGAGAAAATGGCTGGGGGAAGTGCTTGGCTAAGTCTGCCTCCTTTGGCTGCACCTGGCAGGTGGAGTCCAGGGATCGGAGGTCGGAGCTGGCTGCTGTACTCGGGTGGAATGAAGCGAGTACGGCCATACGGGGTCTGCATGTCCAGGGTGGTATTCCTTGCTCCACGTTCCCATTTTACAGCCGAGGGGATGAGTCCAAATTAAAGAGGATCTCTGATTAGGAAAATACTCAGCTGAGCTGATCTGAAGATTCGGAACTTCTTCGGATCAGTGTGGTCAGGGTCTCCAGCCTCCATGGGAGCACAGGTCCAGAGACATGGGCACTGCCATTTGGCTTGGGTTGGGAGATCCAAGTAGCTGCCCAGGCAACAGGCT